TGTAAGCTGTTATTTTTAAAAAAAAAAGTCCCGCTGGGTTTCTTGCTGGTTCTTCCCAGGACAGAGGTTTTTTCCGAACCAGTGGTAATCAAACAAAAGAGTGACTTTCAATAAGTATTATTTATAATCTATATTGAATAGAAAAGTTTCTGTTTCTGTTTCTGTTTCAAAAAATACGTCTTGAGCTTTTGACGATGCCGCTATGACTAAATGACACAAATCCGAAATATATCCTATAGGACATAAGTAAGAGGTGACAATTTTGTTGCTGATGTCCGGTCTATTACTACTACTTAAATGTCTGAAATAATCAAAGGCGTCATTAGGATTATGTAAAGATAATAATTCATTGAATGTGAAAGAGTTTAGGCATTCTGCGAACTTTTTTAAATTTTCTTTGCAAAAATTGCGTTTGAAAACATACCAATATGTCATTAAATAATGCTTCATTACTGTAATTTTCAGCAGTTGGGCTGTGTGATCAAAGAATCCAAATCTCGTATTTCGCTATTTATTTTTGTACAATTATCGAATGCATTATCTATGCAGGTACCACCACATTTTTTTTTATAGGAGAGGGGGCAAACGAGCATGCAGCTCACATGATGGTAAATGAATACCGCCGCCCATGAACACCAGGGGAATTGCAGATGCGTTGCCGGCCTTTTAAAAAGGAGTAAGCTCTTTTCTTGAAGGTCCCTAAGTCGTATCGATCCGGAAAACTCGCTGGTGATAATCGATTAAACAAGGAAGTTGTGTGAGGAAGAAAATTTCTTCTAAATTGCACAGTGGTGGACCGCCAATCATCCAGATGGTATGAATAGTATCGAGAGTTTTGTCGCGATGTGCAATGGTGAAATTGAGCGGCAGAAATTAATCCTAACAATTCCTCAAGAGCACTACCCGTGATAGATGCGATAAAATACGCAAAGAGATCCAACATCTCTACGCAGTGCCAGTGAGTCAAGCCGATCAGAAAGAACTCGGTTGTCGACGATTCGATCCGCTCTGCGCTGGATGCGGTCAAGTGGAAGGAGCTGGCACTGGGGAGCCCCTGCCCAGAGATGGGAACAGTATTCCATGTGAGGCGGAACCTGCGCCTTGTAAAGTTGCAGGCGGTGTGCCGGCATGAAATATTGTCCCGCTCTGCTGAGCACGCCAAGCTTTTTAGTGGCCAATTTGGCCTTCACTTCCAAGTGACCACGAACGTCACTCGATATGTCGACACCGAGGATTCCGATACTGGCTGAGGCAACAAGGGGAGTGCCTTGAAACTGAGGAGATACGACAAAAGGGTTCTTTTTAGCGGTAAACGCGCAAACTTGTGTCTTTTGGAGATTGAACTGGACTAGATTTAGTCGCCCCCAGTCTAAGACTTTGTTCAACAAAGTCTCGACTTCAGACACATGTTTGTTCCGGTACCCGGCGACGTTTTCCCGAGAAATATTGTCACGGCCGGTGTATAAAGCATCACCAGTGCTGTCATCTACATAGCAATTAATGTTACTGGTTTGCAATATATCATTGATATGCAGAAGAAACAGCGTTGCTTGTAATCGGAGCAAGCACCGTCTACTACGACCTTGATGCTCCGATCTGCAAGAAAACTGGTGATCCAATTGCATAATTTCTCGGGAAACCCATAGGAAGGCAGCTTCGAAAGAAGCGCTTTGTGTCAAACCCGATTGAAGGCCTCCGCTACGTCCAAATTAACGGCGAACGACTCCCCCGATACTACACTGCCTCCGCCCATCTATGAGTTAGGTAACCTAAAAGATCACCAGCAGAGCGACCTCGACGGAAACCGTACTAATCAGCTAGTGATCCTCAAATTACCGCATGAGCTGGCAGTTAATAATGGTTTCTGTTACTTTGGAGAACAAGAGGGTGATAGCGATAGGCCTGTAGTTGGACAGATCTGAGCGGTCGCCTTTTTTAGGAATCGGGTGCACCAAAGCTGTCTTCCATGAGTTTGGGACTACGCCTAGAGAGTAGGAGTACCGAAAAAGACGCGTTAAAACCGGTGCCGACTACGGAGCACATGTCTTCAGCACAATAGGTGGGAATCCATCAGGCCCACTCGACTTGCTGACGTCCAGGGAGAGGAGGCTTTACGCACCGAGCACTTTGTAAACAGCACTTCCTGCATGGAGCACTTACACCGCGGGATGGTCGGCGGTGTGTTCCCCCCCCCCCCACCATCTAGAGTCGAGTTGGAAGCAAAAAAGCAAAAATTTAACCACATAGCCTTGTTGGTTCATTAAATTCAAAATTTAAATTGTAACTACTCAAAATTTGTCTTATGATAATTGTCAAAATATTTGGCTTTAATATGTCAACATTGAGATCACCAAAACTAACATTTTTTTTTTAATTTAAAACAGCACTTGTGGAAGATATTTTGCAATATATTTAAAAATGTATCAATATCCCTAGCAGAATTTTTTGGCACTCGGTACTTGCATATTATAATGATTTCAAATTCAACAAGCTCAATTGCACAACATTTAACTTCTTCACTTATGGTTTGGGCTTGAAATTCGTAAATTGTGTTATACTTAATATTATATTTCATCGCAAACAACATTAGGCTACTTTGAAATTTGGTATACATAAATGTTTAATGTCATCTTCAACCATATTGTGCTCGATTATACAAATTATCGCAATCATTTTATTTTCATCTTTTAATTTCGATAAACACACACCAGGTCGGATTTGTTAATAATTCCGTTCATGTTTTGATACAAGAGATACAGATTATTTTAGACCAGGAAAAAACTGAAGAATCATCGGGGTCACTACCCGCTGATCCTTCCTATGTTCAATACGATTTTGAGTTCCCTGTTACAAGCAGCGTTATTTATATAATTTAAATAATTTTGTCTGTAACCAATACTTAAAAAAAATTTTCAGTAATGACCTCGATAAGTTCAAAGCATATAGGTTTCTTCACGGAACAGATCTGCAATAATCCATATCCAAAAATACCGCTTGCTTAAAATTGCTACATATAATACATACAAATCGGGGTGATTGACAGCCTATATTTTGGCAATGCTATTTTTAATTAAAAATTATTTAATTAATTTTTTTACCGGTCATTCTTTTACTTGATAAAATTGGTCTCAATCGCAAAAAAAATATATATAGAAAATGCCACACCATGGTTGACTACCTTTTTCCATGCAACAATACCTGTCAACCAGGTGTAAACAGGTAAACTGATATAGTAATTTACCCTCATTCTTTTTCCTAAAAAAATTAATGTGTATATATAGATATTTTTATTGCGAATCCAATGGTATATATGGTATACACAACGCCCACCATTCCGCGGCGTGATTGCTCCATGATTAATGTGCGTTTTACGAAGCGCTCAGTGTGCAAAGCATTCCTCTCCCTTGACGTCAATTCGAGTGGGTCTGTTGGAGCCTCTACTATTGTGCTGAAGACGGGTGCTCCGGAGTTAGCACTGGTTCACCCGGGGCACCCGTGCTTTCCGCTTGACCGCATCCACCGAACAGTGGCTCGGATTATCAAGTACAGTGTTCTTTCTGATCGGCTTGATTCACTGGCTCAATTTTCACGGGGAGTATTAAGACAAATTGTTCAGCACGCACATCGGGACAAAACCCACGGTGCCATACACACCATCTAGATCCTTGGCAGTCCACCATGACTGTGAGTTACTAGGAGTTTTCGCCCTCGTAAGACTTCTTTGTAAAATCGTTTACGACGTGTAATTTTTCCAGACCTATACGACTTAGAGACCTTCAAGGAACGAGCTTACTTCTTTTAAAATGGCCGGCAACGCAACTGTTATTTCCCTGGTGTTGCAGTTGTTTATGGGCGATGGTCGCTACACTTACTTTCAGGAAAATTTGATTTATTGTGGACGAAACTGAGGGGTGGAAAGCTTGTGAAATATAAAAATCTAGTAAATATATTCGTGGGCTGGGCGTGCACGGTCAGAACAGGCCGGTGATGAAGGGGGGGGGGGTAGAATGCTGCTATATATATATATATAAATTTATCAAATAATTTTTAATTAAAAATAGCCTTGCCAAAACATAGGCTGTCAATCACTCCGATTCGTATTTATTTGTATATTTTATTATAAAAAATATTTCATCAAGGAAAAGAATGAGGGGGTAAACCAAAATTTATTTAATCTAAAAAAAACGTTATATTCAGAATCGGATTAGATTCGATCTCACAACATACTGCGTTCGTGCAAGCGCATTAGATCAACTTATTTGTATTTGAGGCATTTCAAAAATGTCATTACGATATTTTAAATTTATGATTAGCGCTCAGCCGATTGGTTTACGATTTTAAGGATTTAAACGGCGGCGACGAGTGCGACTGCTGGAACTACAGCGAGCGAGAACCAACCTATTACGTAAGGCGCCAATGACCCGCGCGTTATGTACACTCAATACGGTGGCTGAGCAAATTGTTGTTCTCTAAACGAGTTCACAAAGGCTTAGTTTATAAACTTATTATGTCTAACAGACGGCTCTGTGACGCAGTGGCTTGGCAATGAGTTCCTGCGCTAAGAGCCGCGGGTTCGAATCCCGCACGGAACAAATATTTGTATGGCCTACAAATAATTGTTCCGGGTCTGGATGTTTGTCCTTGTGGAATTTATGTATGTAAACGATACAGCAGAAAATCCTAGTGTGGAGGTAACGCTTGTTTTAAAAAATAATTGAAATAATTGATAACAAAAATATGACTTATCTATCGTATTAGGGCAAACCTGTAATCATAGTAATAAGTGGATGTGTAATAAATAAATAAATAAATAATGCGGAGCACATGTTACTCGACCGCTACCGTTAGCGTGAACTTCAGGCATGGCGCTATGATTATCACCCCTAAAAACTAAAATAAAATGCTTCATAGCATTTAATAATATTGGGTCTCTTACTATTGTTTACATTTTAATGGGAACAGTAGCTTGTACTATTAAAAAATCTTTGATTTTGTTACAGATTTGGTTTTACCGGTGAAGCGGCCCCTCGTTGTATCATACGTTCTGAATACTGGTGCCCTTCCACTCGAAAATATAAACGCGTATATGACTACACCACACCAGAAGAACTTTATGACAATCTTGTTCATATGCTGCATTTATTATACTTTAGGTATTTACTATTTTGCTACTAAACAGCCTTTAAAAATTCTACTGCTGGGCATGCCTCTTTTTTTGAAAAAGGGTTTTGGAGCTGTTAAGAGACCAGTGTTAGCCAAATAGCAATCGTGTCCACTCTTTCATAAGTCCATAACTTTGCTGTAATCATATGCATAGAAGAGACCTTATCCACCCCATCTCCTTTTTAAATCCAGCTTGCACATCCCAAATTTTTCCGTCAGTTTCTTTCATAAATCTTACCGTAAAGTTTTCCTACAATGCTAAACAGGCTGATTCCATAGTAATATTTACGGACACTGTGTAATGGAACTATAATGGCTTCGCACCAGTCTCCCTGTACTCTCTTTAATTTACTCCCTCTCCAGCTCATAGCATTTCTAGTGATATTCTATCATACCCAACTCCCTTACCTACCTTCATGCTTATCATTGCTTTTATTGTTTCATCTATACTTATCTCAGTACATCCGCCTTCTTCTTTCTAGTTCATTAAATTCAAACTTCTCCTCTTTCTTATATGCCTTTAAAAATTTTGCTTTCAGCGCTTTAAACTCCAAACTTCGTCATTAAAAATAATGAGTTCTGAGTTTTCCCTCTTAGTTCTTAAGAGTAAGAAACATTGTAAAATTTTCCTGGAAATCATAACATATTCTTCTATCATTCCCATCCGTTCTTTTTTATAGAATAAAGGTAACAAACAAGCACACAGTCCAGCTGATGGTAAGCCTATAGACATCTAAATTTATGCTCAATTAAGATGGAATGTAAAAAGGGTCTTTCTCGCTTTTTACTTTCATTACTTTTTAGCTTTTTACACTTCATTAATCTAATATAGATAGATATGTGATTTATCTTTTATACTTGAACTGAAACATTGCAACATATTCTTGTAGGCATGTTTTAGTCAACCCAAAGGAACGCAAAGTGGTGATTGTTGAGTCGTTGCTAACACCTACACTATTTCGTGAAACACTTGCTAAGGTGCTGTTCATACATTATGAGGTAAGTTAAAACCCTTTTATGATTTTGTGTACATCATGAGTAACAACTTGGCTCACTATATTTAATTGAAGTATTTTTTTATTTATGAGGAGCTCGACAACTTCCTAGCAGTGCGTGATAACAAATTTGACTTAAGGATTTTTCAATAATCACCCAGAATTTCATATCCCCGTATATTGGCGGATGATAATACCTAGTACTCCATATCTTTCCTTGGGTGTCGTAAGAGGCGACAGAGGGAAACTGAGGCAGAAGATGGGCAGCAGCATCTTCCTGATTTCTTCCCAGGACTGAGGTATTTTCCGAACCAGTGGTAAACAAAAAATGACTTTCAATAAGTATTATGTAATAATCAATATTGAATAAAAATCATTCTATTCTATTCGATCTATTCTTGATAACGGCAAATTACAAGAAAAAAACTGCGGTTGCCAACCCGCTCGTCAAGCATGGGAACTATGGCAATATACCCTATGACGGGAGTTACAAAAAGACGGCCCTCAGTCTCCGGCGGCCCCACTATTCCTGGCTACGGTGGTGACCATGGTAACGGCTAGGAAGGGGGTACTAAGAATCTCCGGCGGAGGTTCAGTTGCCACCTAAGACGACTCGATCTGGCAACATATAACGCACGCACACTAAGGACTGACGAGAAGATCCTGGAGCTGGAAGAAGAGATATACAAGTTCCGCTGGGATATTATAGGATTATCTGAGGTACCGAAGAGAGAGAGAGAGAGAGAACACGGTAATCCTTGAATCCGGCAACTTGTTCTAGCACCGGGAGGGCGACCATCTGTCACAAGGAGGTGTCTGATTTATCGTCCACAAGTCTCTCACTAACAAGGTTGTAAAGATTGGGAGTGTGTCGACAAGGGTTGCGTACCTTATACTCAGAATCACCAAACGGTATTCGGTAAAGATCATACAGGTTTACGCACCAACGTCGGCACATCTCGATGAGGAGGTAGAGGAAATATATGAGCATATTTCTAGAGCCATACATTCCTCCAAAACCCACTATACGGTGTTAATGGGAGACTTCAACGCAAAATTAGGTACAAGAGAGAATGGTGAGCTGAAAGTAGGGAAATATGTGATAGGTCAACGGAACCCAAGGGGCCAGCAGTTGGCCGACTTTATGGAAAAAGAGGGACTTTATGATGAACTCTTTCTTCAAAAAGCGGCCCTCAGAAAGTGGACCTGGTCGAGCCTCGACGGTTCGACAAAAAATGAGATTGACTTCATTATGACGACCAGACGACAAACGTTTTCAGTGCCTAGAAGAGTGCAATGAAGTGGACGATATGAATGACAAGCTTATGGAAACTGTCCATACGGCCGGAGCTAAGTTCTGCAAGACCTATCTCAGAAGAACACAAAAACTCTCCGATCACTGTCTTAATCTCATTGCTGTTAGACGGGAAATGAAGCTGCAGTCTTCAGCAGATTTGACAGCATACAGGCAACTAAACAGACAGATCTTCAAGTGCATGCGGCGGGACTTACGCAACTTTAGTACAGCTCATATTGAAGAAGCGATCAAGCGGAACCAGGGCTCTAAAGTTTTTGCCAGAGATCTGTCTGCCAGAAAGAGCCAACTGTCGAAGCTGAAGACCGAATGTGGCAGCATCGCTTACGGGACACCTGAGATTTTACACATCATCGTTGGAGCCACACGCAAGCTTGAGTAACGATCCAAGAGCAAGTGTTATCCAACACTATTCCTATGATATCCCGGAGGTCAATCTGAGCGAGATTAGAATGGCTCACCCTTGTATTGTCGTAGTGTGTGTAGCGAGTAGCGTGTAGTACTGTAGTGTCGTGTAGCCACACCTTCCAACATTACAATACGTGAAGTGGCGTGTGTGCAGGTGTCGGGCGTGATGTGGGTGGACAGCGGGCGAGCGAGCGCGCTGACGCTGGGCGCGCCCGTCGTGCTCGTCGTGTCGCTGGGCGCGCGAGACGCAGAGATCACTGCAGGTACGTGGACCTTGTATACGAGCCTCAATCACGTAACTTGTCTATTTTATAAAGAACAAGCTGTAAAACCTATTTTACCCCTTTAGAGGTTGAATTTTCTAAAATCCAAAGTAGCCATTAACTATGACATCACTATAACCATGGGTGCTGTAAAGTGCCCAAAACATCGGGAATTAAAAAAAGTTCAAATTAAACGTGATAAAATTCGAAAAATTTGTTTTTTGTAAAGAATAATGGTGACAAACGAGCACACATACCACTTTATGGTAAGTGACTGCTGTCAAAAATCAAAATTCGGATACATTTTCACCCCTGAGGACTAAGATGAAATGCCTCGTTTCCAGTCAAAAGGATTTCCAGGTCTCTACTCACCTTACGAAATACAACAGCATTGAGCTGCTATTTTACGCCGGTATTTTGTGAGCGTGGTCCTTCCCCATTCGACGTAAACTCTTGACGGGTGGAGAATTTCATAGGAGTGGATTTGTCCAGTTCTGTATGGCATATGATTATCATGACGTCAATGACAAAGCAGGAGTTATGAGAAGAGAATAGCAGAAAATATATATCGCCTAGTAGGCGGAACAAAGACCAGAAGAAGACTTAACTGAATGGGTGGCCCGGGTTCGTTATCTCGCACAGTTTTACGAGACAATTTTGTGCTAGGATTGGCGAATGCCGAGGAAAAAGAAAAGTTTTTTTTTTTGTGAAAACATCGTTAGCTTGGCTTTCAATAAAGCGTTGGAATTAGCACAAAGCGTACGATGTGCTCGAGTTACAGTTCAAAAGCCATTGCAAGATGGTGGTCGAGCCATATCATCAGCGGCAGCGCAACCCGTTTTCGCTTTACTATCCCAAGAATATTCTGTTCGTCAAACATATCTTGCTTGGTTTGTGGATATAAGAACTATAGGTACTAGAGATAAATGTCGATATGCGAATTATTTTTGTCAAAAGTGTAATAAAAAGGGCATTTAAAGCGTGCTGTAAGGTATACCGAAGACAGCGGTTGATCTAAGGCAGTATGACATGTAGTATGATCTAATTCAAATCATCTGATATTCCTATCTGAAAGAAAGTGAAATAAATAAAGAAACCTATAACCTATTCTGTTGACAATGGGTGTTTCAAAATATACGAGGACGACCATAGATTAATGATAAGTCATCGCGCGCTCTGACTAGGTACCGCACTCCCTGCAAATAACAGCTCCATGACTGCGGCATCTTAATATTGTAGTGTGTATAAGACAATTTGCATGATGCTAGTGTGCGTGAAAAATTGTATATGCCAGCAACTTAACTATTACCCGATTAACGGGAAAACTTATTTTATGCTATGGCTTAGTAGTTAAGTTCATAGTTATGAATTTATTTCAGAAATACTTAAAAATAAATAGTTTATTAATAACGAATATATCAATATATTTGTGTATATTATGTATAGGTTTTTAACGGCAATTATGTCATTTGAGCAATACTACAGAAATAAACATTTTATAATATAGAATCAGGTTATATTATAATAAGTTAAATATATTATATTATAAAATATAGTAACAATAAATTCACATACAAACGGCAACATTGAATAGTGTTATTGATATTTAGTGACTTATTTATGGCTCATGTTATTTTATGTTAAAATTTCGAAATTGTGTGATACTTAATGATAGTATGTGATTCCAGTGTCTTTCTTATTTCTTGTAGTATTATTTTTACACAGTTTCAATACGTAAACTGGTATTTTACTTCGGATTATGATCAAAATTTAATAAAACATTCGGTACGTTGACCTCACACATTGCCTGCAACGCGACTGGCTCGTATATGTTCGCTAGTATTTGTTGCGCATTTTACATGAGCGCCGGCGGTATCTAGTCAGAGCGGGCGATGACTTATCATTAATCTATGGAGGACGACACTGAAAGTTATTAGAACTGGCCACTTGTAAACGATATAATAAAAAAATAAGTTCATATTTTGAAAATGGAACTCTTTGACAATATTATTGTGTATGTATTTTATTAATTTGTCATTTGTTTATGATTTAGCGGCAAATTGAAAATTGTCTGTGTCATGTCAGCATGAATTTAACGCGAGAAAATTTTCGTACAGTGATTTTTTATGACTTTCGATGTCATTTAAGTCAACAAAAAAGTTATGATAGACTTTGATAGGCCTTTCACGATGAAGCCCCATCTCGTGCCACTGTTTACAACTGGTTTAATGAGTTTAAACGTGGTCGCGCTAATCACACCGATGATCTGCGTGAGGGACGGACTTCTACGGCGACGACTGAATATATCATCAGTGTTGTGCGGCGTATGATAGAGACTGACAAAAGAGTGACTTTTCAGCAGATTCGGACAATCTTAGGCATCGGTTTCAGTCAAATGCACGAAATACTCCATGAACATTTAGCGGTCAAGAAGCTTTGTGCCCGGTGGATACCTCATAATTTGACAGAGGCCCAAAAACTCCATCGTGTTGATTGATGTCGCGAAATGGTTCAAAGATTTAACAGAGGTGACTCAAATGCTGTGTTTGAAATACTTACGGGTGATGAAAGCTAGATTTATTGTTATGATTCTGACACTAAGAGAGTCTGCTGTCTGGGTGTTTCCCTCCGAGGAGTTGCCAACTAAAGTGAAGAGAAGTCGAAACATGGGAAAAAAGATGGTGGTCTCGTTCTTCGAAAGGACAGGTCAATAGGCAACAATTGTTTTAGAGGATCGAAAAACAGTTACTGCAGAGTGGTACACTAACAATTGTTTACCACTTGTCTTGGAAAAAGTTCGGGAGAAACGACCTCGCAGCAGGATCCTCTTTCACTACGACAACGCCTCGTCACACACCGCCAAGCAAACAATCGACTACTTGGCGACGTCAGATGTGGAATTACTGAGTCACCCGCCCTATAGCCCAACCTCGCACCTTGTGATTTTTATTTATTTACGAAAATAAAAGAAAAACTTCGAGGAAAACGTTTTATGGACGAAGGAATATGGAGGAAGCAGTAGCTACGTTTCAAAATGCCGTCGAAGATACCCCTAAGGACGAGTAGGCAAAGTGCTTTTCTTAGTGGTTCCATCGGATGCAGCGATGTATTGATTTAAATGGACACTATTTTTAAAATATATAATAAAACTAATAACTTGCTAGTTTCTTCTATTTTTGATTTTCTACGAACTTTCAGTATCACCTTCGTACAGGGTTATTTTGCAATTACCGGCCAAATTTGCAGAGAAGGTTCAGTATAGGTAATATAGGCAAATGGTGAAGAAAAATTATTTAAAAAAAATCTCAAACATTCTGTCACTATTATCTCTTAATTCAAAATACGTGGTAATGTGTGCGTGCATAAAATAGTAAACATTAGATATTTATGAATGAAAGTCAGTTAAATAAAATAGTTAACGTTAGATATTTATGAATGAAAGTCAGTTAAAATTTAACTGACTTTCATTCATAAATATCTAACGTTTACTATTTTATGCACGCACACATTCGTAAGGGTACCTTCCAGCGCATCTCCCTCTCGCTCTTTTTTTTATTTACCGTTACATCGCTATGTACCTGCGTGACCTCATTGCGTACGCTTTGTTATCAATGACGTAACAAAAATATTCAAACCGCGGGTACTATGAAATGGTGCAATATTACAGTGTTTACCGTGTTTGCAAAGACAAAGAATTAAGACACGTGTACCACCAATCGGAGAACAATTTTTGCAGCTAACCAAAGGCTTAGACTTTGGACAGTTTACCACTTCGTCACATGGAAGTGCTCAAAGTGGTCACTCAGTAATAAACTCGGCTGTCGAAAACACAGTGATTGAGTCAAAGTCCAATTATATATATATATATACAAGTATATATAGGGAAGATCGAGTTTTTCGAGCGAAACCCCCGCACCAATGATGCAGCTCGAGTTCAGAGTTAGCCAGTACGTGTGGATACTACTGAATTCTTCTGGATATCACTCATTTCATTACCAATGTGTACAAGCACTGAATAATAACGATGATCCACCTCAAAAATGTTTTCTGAATGTTTAGTGTCATTTTTAGTAGGTAATTGCATATTTAAGCAGTAAAATTATGTTAATAAACATATTACGCCGTAGTATGCCGAACGGCGTACGCGCCGACGCGATGATCGAGTCGGCTGAGGTCGACAATACTCTGCACTATTCGCACTGCCTATTACGAGGGCGGCACTGAAAATTTCGGGAATCAAAGAAGTGACACAACATTACTATTTAAAAATGTATTTATTGCTTTTCGAAGTATTCTCCGCGAAATTTGACACATTTTTCCATACGTGAAGCAACCATTCCATTCGGAAGTTGGGGTCTCCAAAATGGCCGTTTTGTAGGCGTCCACAGCTTCTTCAGGTGATGAAAATCTCTGCCCACGCAATTTATTCTTTATTTTAGGGAAAGTATAGAAATCATTAGGGCTGTTACGGATCGCCGTAACGCCGTTCGAAAAATGAATAAAAACGCGCTGGTCTTGCTTAAACTGGAGGCAAGCGGCGGTGAGAAGGAACTTGTACTTTTTCTTGCTGTTGTCTTCTTTCGGTGGCTGGAGAGCGACTGCCGACCGTTCCGGCCGGCCCGTCTTATATATGATTTGGCCATTGCTGGCCAGCGGACCCTTGCCTCACCCCCGCGCCTTTCTTTATTGGTTAGATTTCTTACAAACTAACGAACAGACTTAAATATATAACATTCTTACAACTACTTATTAAACTAATATTTACATAACAATGTTTCTATATACTAATGCTTAAAAGGTTGTTTTTCCAGCAATTTTGAGCTGAGGACCCTGCCCCCCGCCTCAGTACTATAAATATAAAACGTCGCGGCGCGGCGCGCGTAGCCTCATTCGCTCCGCGGCCGCGTCACGGTAACATGCCCTGTTTATTATTTTTCATGCCTAAAGGCTTAATATATAAGAAATTAAATTGCACTATATAAAGGAATACAATTTACATA